TAACATAGCACTTATACTCTGCTTACATGTAATGCAATAATGTCCATGCTTGAGAGGTTTGCTTGTTGGGGTAGAGAGTTCTATAGGATGGGTCCTGGAGGCGAGCATGGGAGGAGTTGATGAGGAAATTTTAAAGCAGGAGGTCTTGTGACAAGCGGAGGGGACTGTTAGGGTGATACTTTGAGACCAGGTTTGAGATATAGCCAGGGGCAGAGTTGTGGATGGCTTTGTAAGTGGTTGTTAATATTTAGAATTTTATCCTTTGGGCTATTGGAAGCCAGTGTGGGGATTGACAGAGGGGGGTTGCAGACACTGAGCGGTTGGTTAGGTGGATGAGTCTAGCAGCTGCATTCATGATAGACTGAAGGGGGGATAACCTCTGTAGAGGTAAGCTAATGAGGAGGGAGTTACAATAGTCAAGACGAGAGATAACAAGGGAGTGTATGAGTAGTTTTGTGGTGTCATTGGTGAGGAAGGGGCGTATTTTGGAGATGTTAAGAAGGTAAAGGCGGCAGGATCTGGATAGTGATTGGATGTGGGGAAGAAAGGTGAGGTCCGAGTCAAGGATGACACCTAGGACCTTGGCATGGGCGGAGGGCTGGATAGTTGTGTTAACAAAAAATGTAAACTAGTTATCCGGGCAGCCAAAATTGAGTGCGAAAAGCACATCGCCACAGTTAGTAAAAAAAAACAAAACCAAAATTTCACCGATATATTAACAGTAAAAAGGTGAGAAAGGAGCAGATAGGCCCAAAAAAGAACGAAAGCGGAAAGTTAGTCACAAATGACAAGGAGAGGGCAGAGGCACTGAATACTTTTTTCTCCTCACTATACACTAAGGAGGAAATCGGGTTTGATGTACGTGATAAAACACATAGTTCAACACAAAATATACCCCAGTGGTTGACGGAACCCGGGATACGACAAAAACTTAAACTACTAAATGCAAATAAAGCAGTGGGTCCAGATAACCTGCACCCCAAGGTACTTAAGGAACTAAGTGAGGTTATAACAAGACCATTATTCCTCATTTTCAAAGACTCAATAATGACTGGTAGAGTCCCAAGTGATTGGCAGAAGGCCACGGTAGTTCCAATATTAAAAAAGGGGGCAAGATGCCAACCGGGGAACTATAGGCCGGTCAGTCTAACATCAGTGGTTTGTAAACTGCTAGAGGGCATAATTAAGGACTATTTGGTAGAATTTGTTCAGGATAATGGGATAGTTAATGACAATCAGCATGGGTTCAGGAAAGATCATTTCTGCCTGACTCACTTGTTAACCTTTTATGAGGGGATAAGTAGAGATATGGATGGAGGGAGGCCGGTAGATGTGGTATATTTGGATTTCTCAAAGGCATTTGATACGGTACCACACAAACGATTACTACACAAGCTGAGATCTATGGGCATAGATGAGGTGGTGTGTACGTGGATAGAGAGCTGGCTACGGGAACGTGTCCAGAGAGTATCTATAAATGGCACCTTTTCAGACTGGGCTAGTGTAATAAGCGGTGTGCCTCAGGGCTCTGTGCTTGGACCCATATTGTTTAACCTGTTTATTAATCATATCGGGGAGGGTGTGAATAGCCATATTTCAGTGTTTGCAGACGATACAAAAATAGGGAGGGTATTAGAAACGGAATTAGACAGTATAGCATTACAGGAGGACCTGGATAAAAAAGGGGAGTGGGCGAATATATGGCAGATGAGGTTTAATGTCGATAAATGCAAAGTAATGCACTTTGGAAATAAAAACAAGCAAATGGGTTATGCAATTATGTGTATGCCACTAGGGAAGTCACAAATAGAAAAAGACTAGGGGGTCATTGTAGACCACAAACTAAAGGGTAGTTTGCAGTGCCAGGCTGCTGTAAACAAAGCAAGTAGGGTCTTGTCCTGTATTAAGAAGGGGATGTACTACAGAGACAAGTCTATAATTGTGCCACTTTATAGAGCATTGGTTCGGCCTCATCTGGAGTATGCGCTCCAGTTTTGGTCGCCAGTATTAAGAAAAGATGTCCTTGATCTGGAGAGGGTCCAGTGGAGGGCAACTAAACTAATTAGGGGAATGGAGGACCAGAACTATGAGACAAGGCTCATAAATTTAAACATGTTCACGTTGTAAGTAAGGAGATTAAGGGGGATATGATTTTCATGTACAAGATGTTGAATGGCGACAGCAACATTGGCAACAAACTCTTTAAGATTAACTCCGTTACAAAAGCTAGAGGCCACCACCTAAAATTGGTGGAAAACAAATTCCAGCACAAGGGGCGAAGGGGGTTCTTCACAGTAAGAGTGGTTAGGGTCTGTAACTCACTGCCATCGGCAGTGATTTCAGCCAGGAGTGTGGAATTGTTCAAGAAACTCTTGGATGATTTCCTGAGGGACCGTAATATACAGGGGTACAAGTACTCCTAAGAAGAGAGATGATGCGCGGACCTATATGGGTTGGACTTATGTCTTTATTCAACCGCAAATACTATGTAAGGGAAAAGTTGGGGGAAGGTGCACGGGGTGGAGGAAATATCATGAGCTCAGTTTTTGAAAGGTTGAGTTTTAAGAAGTGTTGCGACGTCCAGACTGATATGTCAGTTAGTAGATTAGTGACACACAAGGACACTGAGGGGGTGAGTTGTGGAGTAGAAATATATATTTTAGTGTCATTGGCATAGAGATCGTATTGGAAGCCATGTGAGGTTATTAACTGACCAAGGGAGGAGGTGTAGATAGAGAAGAGAAGGGGTCCAAGGACAGAGCCTTGGGGGACCCCTACAAAAAAAGAAAGAGGAGGGGAGAAGTTAGATTTGTAGGTGACACTAAAGGAGCACTTAGATAGGTAAGAGGAGAACCATGAGAGAGCAGAGTCTTGTAGGCCAAGCGAGTGAAGTTTTTTGAGGAGGAGCAGTTGTCAAAAGCAGCAGAAAGGTCTAATAGCAAGAGTCCGTCTATCTCCCACACTGACTGCCTTTAGGTGATCCCTTAAGAATCATCTCTTCAGGGAAGCCTATCCCACCTCAACCTAACCACTGAACAATCACTTTCTCAAACAATCATCCCCACACAGCTACCTCCTCGCCCCTCCCTTTTAGATTGTAAGCCCTCACGGGCAGGGCCCTCCTTACCATCTTGTCTTGAATTGTATTGTGATTGTAATGTCTTCCTTATATTGTAAAGCGCTGCACAAACTGTTGGCGCTATATAAATCCTGTATAATAATAATAATCTGGTAAATTATGGTAGCTTGGTTGGTGGACAAGTGCAATCTGCGTAGCAACATGCAGGAGATGCCCTTGGCAAATCTGTCACCCTAATACCTCAGATACAAGGGCATAATAAAAATCTTTAACAGCATGGTAACATTCCGGCTGGGATCACTCTGTTCTGCTGTGGCAATGCTCTTGTTGCCAGAACATGCAAAACCGCATGTTATGTGCATTGGTGTGCTGTGGTGTCATTCATTCATAACAGCCTCCCGACTATGGAGGCTGTTAGCACAGGTCACACAGTGGAAAGGGCTACAGGATAGCTGTGCTGTGTCATGCAGAGGCATATGGATGTGGCATTTAAAAAAAAAAGGTTAGGCAATGTAATACTGGGGCTGTCACGCAGCCATTTTTGATGAACTGTGTACTAACATGGCCATATTATTGGAGCTAATATGTTGCAGTCCAGATGAATAGGCTATCTTATCTGTGCATGAGCCAACATCTTCCAAGTGTGATGCCCACCTGGCATCATTGCACACAGAGTTTTGACTTTAGCAAATCATAATGTTATATTGTCCCCACCACCCCATATTTCCAAAGCCTTAATAACAATAACTAATTCAGAGAGCCTAAGGTCCCTTTCACACAGGCAGATTGGGAGGGGATCCATGCACGGATCCCCTCCTGATCAGAGAAATATGGATTGGATGTCACCGCTGTGTCATATGTGTCCATACAGTTTTTTCTCCATCTTGTGATGAAGGAAAGAACTAAAACTGCGGGACCCCATGTCGGTCTATGGTGAGTCGGATGTAAATAAACTCCCCATAGATAGGGGGTAATCTGGCATCAGATTACCCCCCATCCGGTGCGAACAGGACCGGAGCAAAGTGAGCACTGTTCCGTTAGTTTTTCCGGAACTGACCAGAGTCAGGGGTAACCGCGTGTAAACGGACGCCCGTTCATTTACACCGAGCTGCCTAGACTAGCATTGGGCATCTGATCCGTTCTGCCTGATAAACTGACAGCCGAACCCGTTCGGACTGCCGGTGTGAAAGGGGCCTTATCCTTACATATGCTTTGTAAATTGCGGCATATGTAAAGGATAAAGGCTGAGTTCACTTTAAAACAAAGTACACTTACCCCTCTCTCCCTCATTATTGAATCAAGCTAGCCCACCCTTCCCAGATGCATACTCATCTTGCAATTGTGCCGCAGCCTCTTCTTTTCTTTTCCTGTTCTAAGTGTCTCCTGTCTTGGGTAAAACCCTATGAAAAGCAACTGCACAGGAACAGGCAGTATACTAAAATCATCCAGATAGTATGTAAAAAAACAGCTGCAGCAGTGATTGCGGGATATTTATGCATCTGGAGAGGGGAAGGGTGGGCTAGCTTAGTTTAGCTGGAAGGGTGCAAAAAGGGTAAGTGCCCTTTGTTTTAAAGGGCACCTACCCTTAAAATAAATCTTCTAGGAAAAGTCACACTTTAGTGCTGGTGTAGATACACTTCTCTCCCCCAAACCAACTGTCTCCACATCTTTTCTTATGTGTAGAAAAGCTTCCCTTCCTGTTTTGGTATCTCTGAACCATTTCCTATGTGGAGGTAAGTTTCTCTTCCTCCAATCTTACTATCTCTGCATCTTCACCTATCTGTAGGAAAGTTTCTCTCCTCCAGTGCTGTTGTCTCTGAATCCTGCCTGTGTTTCATTCTAGCTCTTCACATCCTTTCATCACATCCATTGTACCATTGTCTGTGCTTCAGTCTTGTCTTCTTTTCATTGTCCAGTCTTGTCTCTGTCATTTCCCAGCCACTCTTTCCTCCATACTATTCTGTCCCCTCCCTGTGTCTGCTTGTGCTCTCCTCCTTCTTATTCTATCATCCACCCTATCTCCCTTTCCTCCCCTCCCCTCTTCTCAGCTACCCTCTCTCACACATAGTTCTGGAACTGCTTGAGAGATGACTGCTGGTGACTAGAGCCAATCTGTGTGTGTCAGTGGGGTGGTCTCACCAATGGTCCAGCAGAACAGGATGGCCAGGACCCCGTCCAGCTCTACACAGGAAATCCAGATGGATGTGTTAGAGGGGCACAGCCTGCAGGTGAGATTGATTCCTCATCTACACCCTCCCATTATAGCTTAGTAACATAAAAATTGGTATACAGACATTGTGTGTGTGTGCAGTAAAATCCTTAGGATCATATAATTAGTATCTAACTATTCATCTGAGAGCTCGAGTAATTTTATACCAGGTTGATTCATGAAAATATAACAGCTGCACTCAGAGAGTTGCAGGCACAGAGATAAAATGACAGAGAAATATGGACCCTGTGATGCTACTGTGTCAAATGCAGGTTGTGCATATAAAATTATTAGAGACAGCTGGATAGGAAAAGGGATTGAACGTGTATATATGTGTGTGTGTGTGTGTGTGTGTGTGTGTGTGTGTGTGTACATTTCAACCAAGCACACTCTCACAGACAGCTGGTGGTGAGCAGGTAAACACAGGATGTTGTGGGGGATGGGAGCTGCCAGATAGGGGGCTTCACTGTTGTGGTACTGAAAGGGTTAAGATATGTGACTGGGAGTCTGTAGGAGATAATCAAAGGACAGTATTGTCTGCGTTCTTTATTATTCATTGCCAGCCATTTCTGCAGAATTTCAAGTGCCAGGTATTATAACCGTTCTGTAGAAATGGAATTCAAATGTCAAACATAAAAGTAGAAGTGCCAGCTTAACGTATGCCGAGATAAAGCCTTTAATAATCACTTACTATGAGGGATGGGCAACTCTGGCCCTCCAGCTGCTGTGGAACTACAAGTCCCATGATGCATTGCAAGACTGACAGTTACAGGCATGACTCGCAGAGGCATGATGGGATTTGTAGTTAAAGCACAGCTGGAGGGCCAGAGTTGCCCACCCCTGTACTAGATGAAGCAGTGATGAAAGTGAATATAGAAGATATATCAGTTGTAAGTAAACTCAAAGAACAATAATAGTATACGTAATGATTAAGGAGAGAATGATGTAAAATGAGTTATAAATAAGCAGTAACAGCAATAGGTTTCATGATTAGAAGGCAATGTTCATGTAGTGATAATATATTTACAAATACACACAAAACCTATTCCAGCGTATAATAAGGCCAGATGCAAAAAATACTGCAGGACAATTTGTATACTGTGCCTAAGTTTTGGTATATAAAACAATGTCTGCATTGCCCATGATACCACTAGAAAATGCCAGCTACAATTTGACTGGTTGCTGCTAACAAAATACAGTAGACACGGGTCTACTATCATAAAAACCAGACCCATTATGACTAAAGGAAAAGGTAATATGAATTTCCATGCTTTCATCTGCTGTACTTTATAGACACAGCCTAATTTACTTTTCTTTTAAAACTCATTAGGCTAAATATAAGAGAAAAAGTCGATTCAAACGGTCGGATGGGAGCACCAGCTCAGACACCACTTCAAACAGCTTTGTGCGGCAGGTAAGTCATGCTTATCACTGCTTTACGCTCTGGCCTGATGTGTGAGGCACAACACACAGGCCTCACTAGGCCCTGGTCCTGGGTTACCATAGAAACCAGCACCAGGGAAGAGATGCTCCTACGTCAGGAGATGGAAATGACAAACACTAATTAACTGAGAGAGAGAGAGAGAGAGAGAGGAGATGCTGAAGAATGGTACAATAAAAGGGAGAGGATGAACAGGGAGGAGGATAGGAGAGACAAAGGAGGATATATATGTGGGTATCTTGTGAAATAATAGACACAGAGGATGCGCCACTCCTAAAAAAGGATTAAAATGCAATAAATGATGCTGCTGATGGTATTCTAGAAGCAGAAAAGACAGTCAGCTGACTTTGTCCAGATTTTTCCAAGTTGCATTGCAGCAAAATCTAATGTTGCACATTTTACATTAGGATTTATTTTAATGGCTGGTGAAATAGCTTCCTGTATATTTTCTCTGTATTATTTCCAAGCCTAACCAAGAAAAGCATCAATAACCCTTGGCTTTTCAATGTGGTGTTTCTTAGTTTAGCATTTATTCTGTTCAGGCCTGGAAAGTGGCGCAGATTGGGAGTAGGGAGTTAAGTAGGACATGTTGTGCGCTTTATTACAGTTTGGTGTGTTAATAAATAAACCAAATGGATGCCTGTACTACAAATATCTTCTGTATTCCGCTGTGTATCTTATGTATTTGTAAAGCACAAATAGATCAAACTAAAAGCCGGCACTGTTTATAAAACTACAGTATTTCCTCTGGTGGAAATATGACCTCATTTTTGACACACATCCTCATGTCTTTCATATCATAGAGGCAGAATGGCAACATGGTATGATATATTGGTCAGACCTCACTTTACAATGGTTTTATATCAAGTACCTTGTTCACATATCTCAGAATCATTAAATACCAACTCTAGACAAATGTATAAAATACGTCTCGGCTTGACAAAAAGCCTGACTAGATACACATAAGCTGAAAATTGAAATCACTCTACAGTTGTCCATTCTGTAAGTGTATTGTCAGGATGGGACGATACTTTAGGAGGCTTACAGGAGGATGAGAGGTCAGGATTGGTGTCACCAATGTTGTGATAGTCACTAGTAGTCCTAAGAGCTAACAGGAGGGTATTGAGCACACATAGCTGCAGTCTCTTAAAAGGTGTCATTACCAGCCTCATATACTGCAAAACCATAATGTACAGTATTATATAATGCAAGGGTGGGTGGTTCACAAGTGTGTGCAGATTTATTTTTCCCTCCAGGACACAGATGTCACATCTGATGCTTACAGGAGCCCATGTAAAAGGGGCCTAAGAGATGTGGTTTACTTCAAACAAAGTGGAGTGACACAACAGTTCAGAGACACCACTGCAGAGATTCATTATTCTCTAGTGAAAAATGTCAGTTCACTCATTTGGAAGTGCAGTGTGTATCAAGAATTGGACAATTAAAAGAGCACTATGGGGTAAACATTTTATCCCATAGTTCTCTTTAGGGTCATGGGAGGGCATATACTAACCTCCTCCGGTGACCCAAATCTCAGTATATAGCGGGCTATTGCACACTATATACTGGGAGCGCCGCAGCCAGGATGGATCCCGACAATACTGTTGATATCCACCCAGCTGGCTGATTGACAGTGGACTCTGCCTATCTAGAAGCAGAGCCAGCTGTACCCGGCCCCTCCCCTCTCCGTTCCTCCAGTCAGCACATGAGGATCGGAGAGGGGAGGGAGGAGTCCCTGCAGGGAGTGGTGACTGGTAGTCACCGCTCTCTGCAGTCAGATGATCGGGAAGTGAGCGAGTAATGGTATGTGTTCGCACACTTCATGATCTATAGAGTCAACATGTGACAGTTTCAATGTCACACGTCAGCTCTAACTATGGGGATGAGTGTAATTCACTCACCCCATAGTCCTCACTTAATAACAGGTCTTAATACTAAGACAGGTCTTACTAATACTAATAATACTTAATACTAATAACAGGTCTTATATACTAAATATCTAAATCAACAACAGTAAGCAAAAGAAGGCAAAATCAGGTATATGCGTATTTGACCCAATGTCACTTCAAACTTCAGACTGCCTCCTTGTGTCAATGTGGAAAAAAACAACAGTGGTGTTTTACTTATGCCTGTTATAGGGTAAAATCTGTGTGTAGGGAGATGTTGGCAGTCAGTGGCTCTGTGTGCACACAGATCTCATCTGATGACACAGGACATATGGCCCACACCTCTCTCCATCTTGCCTCAGCTACCTTCCAGAGCTGATACCCAGAGGTAGTCTGAAGCTGCTGAAACTTAAGTAATTACTATGGAATATACATCAATTATCATTCATCATTAATAATAATGTGAATGAGGCTTAAAAACAGATGAATGTTATTAGGAATAAGAAGCTGTAAATAACAAAAAATTGTATTGTTCAATATTTAACTTTTTTAGTTCATCTGTTTTTTATACATAAGTACCAATATATATTATAGGGTATATTTATAAAGCAGTAAATGGAACATTCATCAAACATTCACTGCAAGCAAATCCATCAGTGTATATTAAAATGCATGCACAGTAAATGCCCCATTCACTGCTTTATACAGTGTGTATACAAAAGAATCACCCCCCTTTAAAATAATCACATTTTGTTGCTTTGATATAACACCAACATGTCAGAAAATGTTTAAAAAAAACAACAGAATCACTGAGTTGGAAAAATGATCACCCCCTGGTGTCAGTATTTTGTTGAACCACCTTTTGCATTAATTACAGCCTTTTGTCTGTTGGGATATGTCTCTACTAACTTTGCACATATAGACGTTGCAATATTTGCCCACTCGTCTTTGCAGAACTGCTCAAGTTCAGTTAAATTGATATTGACTGTTTGTGGACTGCAGTCTTCAAGTTATTCCACAGATATTAAATGGAGTTTAAGTCTGGGCTCTGACTAGGCCATGCAAGGACATTCACCTTTTTCTCCTTCATTTTTGCTGTGTGCTTTGGGTCATTGTCATGTTGGAAGGTAAACCTTCTTCCCATTGACAAGTTTCTGGCAGAGGGCAGCAGATTTTCCTCAAGAACTTGACGGTATTTTGCCCCATACATTTTTCCTTCTATCCTGACAAGTGCTCCAGTCCCTGCTGCAGAGAAACACCCCCATAACAGGATATTACCACCTCCATGCTTTACTGTAGGAATGGTGTTATTTGGATGGTGAGCTATACTGTATTGGATTTCCGCCAGACATATCGTTTGGTGTTGAGACCAAACAATTCAATTTTAGTCTCATCTGACCATAACACCTTTTTCAATGTGGCCTCAGAATCTTCACGGTGCGTTTTGGAAAACTCAGTCGTGACTGCATGTGGCCTTTTTTCTTGCAACCCTCCCATGCAAGCCACATTCGTGGAGAATTTGTGACATTGTCACATGCACACAATGACCACTCTTTGTCATAAATTGCTCCAACTGCTTCAGAGTAGCTGTAGGTCTCTTGGTAGCCTCTCTGACCAGTTTCCTCCTGGCTCTTTTATCCAGTTTGGAGCAAAAGTCCTGATCTAGGGAGGGTCTGTGTTGTACCAAATAACTTCCAATTCTTAACCTCCTTGGCGGTATTCCCGAGTGTAGCTCGGGGTTACTTCTCCATACCCTGAGCTACACTCGGAGAATATCCCACAGTATTTACTTACTTTGTCCCTCAAACCGTGCGGCGTCCTCCGGCCGGCGCCGTCATCTGTCTTCCGGGTTCCGTCCCTTGCAAGCTGACGCGTCGCATGGGGGCGGAACCGGCGGGAAATTCGAAAAAAACCAAAGAAATAAAATAACGAAAAAAATCTGAAAAAAAATTGCGCCGAAAAAATTACGATAATCAAAATAATCATACCGCCAGGGAGGTTAATAATAGAGTTCACTGTGCTTCTAAAGGTGCCCATACACCTTACGACCATCGCAAGACTTTTGTCTTGCGATGGTCGTATGCTTATTGAAAGCTCGTACGATCTGCCCACCTTGGACGGGCAGATCGTACTTGCGATCATCGAAAGCCCGCCCCGCACGTCTTTTGTCGAACCAACATGCTCGAAACCCCGCCGAGAATCGTACGATTGTTGGCGGGTATCTAGCCTGCTCGTCCGATAGCTGCGGAACGGGCCGGTGTGCGCTTTCATCTGAATGGCACCTGAAACGCACCACCTATCCCCCGGGGTTTCATTGCCCACACTGGAAGTACGGTAACACAATGCTGTGCGTTCCAGTGCAGTGCGATTTGTGTCACGACTTAATGACCATGGACAAATGTGGGTCCTGGGGTTACAGAGGTTGAGTACCACTGTTCTAGAGTAACCCGGAGCTGTATTATATAAATCTTGACTTACTGTTCGCTGGCTCTGTACTACCATATGCAGACCTTAATAAATTGGGTAAAAAAATATCTGTATTGCTTGTGACAAACAGTCAGAGTTCTCCTTTTGTTCTCAAACTTACATTAGAATAAATGGATGGAATCTGGTTGGGTGCCTTTAGTAAATCAACCCCCATGTCTGTAGAATAGTTTTCAGGATTGCCATGTTTCCAAATTTTTTCTGCCATGTTATTCAGCCATATTTCCAACTTGCACAGCTCACTCACAGTTCTTCTCACCCTTATAGATTGACCAATTAACTACAGTCCAAAATACATGAGCAGGTTAAATGCTGTAATCCTGTAATAACTATTTATATCTGTGAGTTTTGTCTATAACTGACCTTGCTTAATATATACTAATATATTCAAAAAGGACATTTATTTGGCATTAACAGTCATATTAAATGTATTTGTTGGGTTCCTCTCATTAAATCTGTCCTGAAAATCTAGTGGTCCAGTGTTGCCCTGCAAAGTCACAAATAATCATTGTTACTGTACTGCCACCATTAAGTATAGCTTCCTATAAACCCCAAATGGAATTGAACTGAAAGGAAGAAAACAATGCTGTTAGAAAGGTGACA